AAAGATGCAGCGTACCAGATCATACACGATGAGTTGATGCTTGATGGGATACCCAGGTTGAACTTGGCCTCCTTTGTTACCACATGGATGGAGCCTGAATGTGATAACCTGATCATGGCTTCTCTCAACAAGAACTATGTGGACATGGATGAGTACCCTGTCACCACTGAGCTCCAGGTTTTTGCTTTTTATTTGAACCCAAATGGCTGTCTTGGTTGATTCTTGGTGATTCTTGGTGATTTTGTTCCAAAACATGGAGAAATCTGTATTTTCTTTTGTAGAATGGATGTGTGAATATGATGATGAGGTTGTTTGGAGAGGAGTGCTAATTAACGGGTTGGTCATGGGTTTATAAGTAAGAAACACTATCTCACGAGGCCAGGAAGCCCAAGGTAAAGCCACGAGAGCTTATGCTCAAAGTGGACAATATCGTACCATTGTAGAGAGTCGTGATTTCTAACATACTGTCAGAGTCATGCCTTTAGCTATGTCAATAGAATCCTCAAGTGTTGAATAAAGAAATTGCTAGTCTTGAAGGTGTAGTCAAAAGTGATTGGGCTCTAGAGAAAGGAGTCGAGCCTCGATTAAAGAGAGGCTGTTAGAGGGCTACATAGGCCTCAAGGAAGGCTCTATGATGTAATTTGTAATCTGTATTTTCTTTTGCAGAATCGATGTGTGAATATGATAGCTCGCCTGTTTCATGCCCCCATCGGAGTAGATGAGGCTGCAGTAGGTGTAGGGACTGTGGGATCATCAGAGGCTATTATGCTGGCGGGTCTTGCTTTCAAGAGGCAATGGCAGAACAAAAGAAGATCTCAAGGCAAGCCCTGTAATAACCCCAACATAGTCACTGGAGCTAATGTGCAGGTACTTTGAGCTCATGGTTTAAGTAATTGTTTGAAATGAGTATCAATCAAGCCTTCAATGGGGCTTTTATGTTCTTGAATGAATCCTGTGTGTAGGTGTGTTGGGAGAAGTTTGCTAGGTACTTTGAGGTTGAGCTGAAGGAGGTGAAGCTTTCTGAAGGGTTTTATGTTATGGATCCTGTGAAGGCTGTTGAACTTGTGGATGAGAACACCATTTGTGTTGCAGCCATTTTGGGATCCACTTTGACAGGAGAGTTTGAGGATGTAAAACTCCTTAATGAACTGCTCTCTAAGAAGAATAAGGAAACGGGTTGGGATACCCCAATTCATGTCGATGCAGCCAGCGGCGGGTTCATAGCTCCGTTCCTTTATCCCGATCTCGAGTGGGATTTTCGGTTGCCTTTAGTGAAGAGTATCAATGTCAGTGGCCATAAGTATGGGCTTGTTTATCCTGGTGTTGGATGGGTTGTTTGGAGGAGTAAAGAGGATCTTCCTGATGAGCTTGTGTTCCATATTAACTATCTTGGTTCTGATCAACCCACTTTCACTCTTAACTTCTCTAAAGGTACTTGAATTAATGAACAAATAGATAGCACTTGAAAGTTTTGATATCATCTCTCTGTCAGGGTAGTTGAATTGAGTATTGATTTAGCCCGCTTGGGTCACCTCGGGTATGTTTGAATGATTAAAGACATGTTTTAACATGATGGGTTGTTAGATTCTTGACTTTAGAATCAAGTTCTTAAGATGTAGTGAACAATTTTCCCCTCCTTTTTCTTTGCTCATTTGCTGAATGTTTTGACAGGTTCTAGCCAAATCATTGCTCAGTATTATCAGTTCATACGGCTAGGTTTCGAGGTAAATCCAAAGTTTTAGCTAATGTTTGTTTTAAGAAATTCTTGCACGATTTGTTAGTTTGTCTGCTATATAAGTATATGTGATGTCCCACATTGGTTGGGGAGGAGAACAAATCACCCTTTATAAGGGTGTGGAAACCTTCCTCTAGCATACGCGTTTTAAAAGCCCAAAAGGGAAAGTCCAAAGAGGACAATATCTACTAGCGGTGGGTCTGGGTCGTTACAAATGGTATCAGAGCCAGACACGAGGCGGTGTGCCAGTAAGGACGCTGGCCCCAAAGGGGGGTGGATTTAGGGGCGGTCCCACATCGATTGAAGAAAGGAAAGAGTGTCAGCGTCCCACATCGATTGAAGGAAGGAAAGAGTGTCAGCGAGGACGCTGGGCCCCGAAGGGGAGTGGATTGTGATGTCTCACATTGGTTGGGGAGGAGAACAAATCACCCTTTATAAGAGTGTGGAAACCTTCCCTTAGCAAACGCGTTTTAAAAGCCCAAAAGGGAAAGCCCAAAGAGGACAATATCTGCGGATCTGGGTCGTTACAAATAGATTGTGATGTCCCACATTGGTTGGGCAGGAGAACAAATCACTCTTTATAAAGGGTGTGGAAACCTTCCCCTAGCAGACGCGTTTTAAAAGCCCAAAGAGGACAATATCTGCTAGCGGTGGATCTGGGTCATTACAAATAGATTGTGATGTCCCACATTGGTTGAGAAGGAGAACAAATCACCGTTATAAAGGGTGTGGAAACCTTCCCCTAGCAGATGCGTTTTAAAAGCCCGAAAGGGAAAGCCCAAAGAACAAATCACCCTTTATAAAGGGTGTGGAAACCTTCCCCTAGCAGATGCGTTTTAAAAGTCCGAAAGGGAAAGCCCAAAGAGAACAATATGTGCTAGCGGTGGATCTGGGTCGTTACAGTGTAGCATTGAGGTAGCCTATATTTCTTGACACGAACATTGTTTGATCTGAATCTGCTCTAGCTTCCTTATGTAAATTTATATATGATGTTTGTCTGAAACAAAGGGATACAAAAACGTGATGGAGAACTGCAAGGAGAATGCAAGAGTGTTGAAAGAAGGAATAGAGAAGATGGGAAGGTTTGAGGTAGTTTCCAAGGATGTTGGAGTACCCCTAGTAGCCTTCACTCTCAAAGACAGCACCAAGCACACCGTGTTCGAGATATCCGAGAACCTAAGGAGGTTTGGATGGATCGTGCCAGCTTACACGATGCCACCGGATGCTCAGCACATCGCCGTGCTACGTGTCGTGATCAGGGAGGACTTCAGCCGGAGTTTGGCAGAGAGATTGATCTTGGACATCGATAAAGTCCTGAAGGAAGTCGACGCGCTGCCGGTTCGGGTGGCTGTGAAAGCAGCAGCAGAAGAAGATGGTGAGAGTATTATAAAGCATGTGAAGAAGAGTGATAAGGAGATTGAAGGAGAAATAGCTGCATATTGGAAGAGGCTTGTGGATGGCAAGAGAACTGGTGCCTGCTAGTGTGCTTGCTTGCTTGCTTAAGTCAGCTCTGTGTGTTGGCTTGCCTGTTTGATTGTCTTCAGTTTTCTTGTTTCTAGTGAATTTTGTGTTTGTGACTTTGAGTACTGATGATATGATGAAAGAGATGAACTATAATGTTTCTATTTAAAACTTTGCCTCGGTTTTCGGATCTCGGTTTGTCCTCCTCCTCCTCCGGGCTATCTTCCGATCCATGGGAGTATACAATGACAGCTTTCGGGCACTCGTGTTCTATCAGAAAACCGTCGATTAAACATTTGATGGTGTGTGGCTACGACCTGAGCTATGCAACAACGATATCTCCTTGATCCAACTGCCTTGCTATCTTCTGACCATCGGGAGTATACAATGACAAGTTTTGGGCACTCGTGCCCTATCATAAAATTGTCTATTAAACGATTGATGGCATGTGGCTATGACTTAAGGTATGCAACAATCAACCGCCTCGCGATCTTTGACCTTCGGAAGTCTACAATGACAACTTTTGGAAAACTGTCTATTAAACGTTTGATGGTGTGTGGCTACGACCTGAGCTATGTGACCTGCGGGAGTATACAATGACAACTTTCGGGCACTCGTGCCTTATCAGAAAATAGTCTATTAAATGTTTGATGACATGTGGCTACGACCTGCTGGAGTATACAATAACAACTCTCGGGCACTCGTGTCCTATCAGAAAATTGTCTATTAAACGTTTGATGGCATGTGGCTACGACCTGAGCTATGTGACTCACGGGAGTATACAATGACAACTTTGGGCACTAGTGTCCTATCATAAAACTGTATATTAAACATTTGATGGTGTGTGGCTACGACCTGAGCTATGCAACAACGATATCTCACTATCTTCCGACTCTCGAGAGTATACAATGACAACTTTTGGGCATTCGTGCCCTATCAGAAAACCGTCTATTAAACGTTTGATGGCGTGTGGCTACGACCTGAGCTATGCGGCCTGTGGGAGTATACAATGACAACTCTCGGGCACTCGTGTTCTATTAGAAAACCATCTATTAAACGTTTGATGGTGTGTGGCTACGACTTGAGCTATGTGACTCGCAGGAGTATACAATGACAACTTTGGGCACTAGTGTCCTATCATAAAACCGTATATTATACATTTGATGGCGTGTGGCTACAACCTGAGCTATGCAACAACGATATCTCGCTATCTTCTGACCCTCGAGAGTATACAATGACAACTTTTGGGCACTCGTGCCCTATCAGAAAACCGTCAATTAATGTTTGACAGCGTGTGGTTACGACTTGAGCTATGCAACATCGATATCTCTTTGATCCAACCGCCTCGCTATCTTCTAACTCTCGGGAGTATACAATGACAACTTTCGGACACTCATGCCCTATCATAAAACTGTCTATTAAACATTTGGCATATGGCTACGACCTAAGCTATGCAACGATGATATCTCCTTGATTCAACCCAACCCAATTGGTACAGTTTAGGTTCGGTTATCATTTTTTTTAGACTGAGTTAAGCTGATTCATGAATTCTTCTAAAACCAAGTTGAGTTGAATCGAAACAACTCGAATTTATTGCCATACAATTATATATACATAATTTTATTTAATTATATAATTACTGGCACATTCTCATTTTTTAAGTTTTTTTTTTAAAAAAAAGAAAAAAATAAATTTGGATTAAAAATTCAAATATTTTAAGGAAAAAAGAAAGTGAAAAAGCAAACACGAATTTGAAAATAAAAATCAAATTATAAAATGGGATCTTACATCTTATTAGAGAATATTCAAAGAATTAGACACAAAACCTAAGAGATTAGAAGAATGTTAGTTCAAAATTGTTAGGGTTTGGTGAAGCAATTTGATTTTCCCTCCAACGCAGGGAGTAAGAATGCAGATTGCCGCCAATCAATCCAACATTCTCAACTCCATCATCTTCTATTCATTTCAATTCCGCAGATTCCTGCACTGAAGATGGACGAATCCACTCTGAGGCGAAAGGTTCAGAGGAAATCAAAAATCAGAGGTTACAGCATCAAACTAGATGCTCTTGCAGAAATTGTTTCCTTTGCCTCTCGTTTCGATGGCTGCGAAGACGACGCCATAGATTTGGTTCTCGACCATCTTCATGACGAATCCTGTAATGCTATATCTTTTTTTTTTCTTTCGTACTGTAGGTCCTTTCATTCCTTCTCATGGACGATTTCGTCGTTTTTTTGCTACCATGGCAGTGCAATCTTCGATAATAGACAAGGATGCGGTGCATCGGGTTGTCAGTATTCTACTTGCAGCTGATGAAGCGGGGGAAGAATGTCCCGATACCAGTACTAGTACATCGGCTCTTTGCATCATAGACGCTTTTGATATCTCCAAGTATCGTTATGATCCCATCAAGAAGATCTTCTACATGTATGTTTTCCCACCTTGTATATTTATCTGAGTAATTGGTGAACAATTGAAGAATGATAACCGCCAATTGGACTTTTGGGTAAACTCCCTGCAGAAAAGAGAGATGTGCATATAGCGGACTTCAACTGATAACTTGATTAAACCATTTCTTTTCCATTTTAGGCACACAGGAAGCCTTCCAATTCATGGTGATGCTTCTGCTAAAGCTGCTTTGTATCGAGATAGGTTTCTCCTACTTTCCCAGAGGCTCTCCCGAGATCAGCATTTCTCAAAACCCGCTTTTGACAGTGGCATGTCTCATTTTGGAAGCTGTGAGGTACTCCATTTCTCTTGATCTTGAACTTACCTTGGTACCCTCTGCAGTTGATCATGAGCATTTACGGTAATTTCTTTTGTGATATGTTCCCCAGATTTCTCCTATTCAGTCTCTGGTGGGGCAAACTGGGAGGAAATGGGTCATGGGAGTGATCTCTCAGATGGAGGATGGTCACTTTTTCTTGGAGGACCTTACTGCATCTGTGGAAATTAATTTATCTAGTGCTATATCCTTTACAGACATCCTCTATAATTTGGAAAAATCTAAACTTGTTTGATATTTGAAGATGACTTGGAATTTGATTTTCTTTAACAATCAGCACAAGATAACTACAGGCCTGTTTACAGAGAACACCATCGTTGTAGCAGAAGGAGAGATGCTCGTGGAGGGTATTTTCAAGGTTTGTGACATGCGTTTGCATTTAGGTTTTTTATAAAGAGCTGGTTGGAATTTTCTCCCAATGTTCTATGTTGGTGGTTGTTTTTTTTTTTTTTTTTTTTTTTG